CTAAGGATTGGCCCAGCAATCACTACTTGTACGAGTACTATGAGGGTGTCCGACTTCAATTCGGCCGCGCGAGTATATTCTCATCCCGTGGTAAAACGAAGACCTTCCCAATACCCCCCCACCCACAAATCTATCGACACAAGCTATGATAACCCATTGCAAGAACTCATGGCAGTCTCCAATTCGATAAGCACGCAAGTACATCGAGTGGTGACGCCCATATCTCGAAAGAGGAGGGTTACCCTAACCGAACATCGAAACCTCCGCTCTCGATATTTTAGGGTCTGTCCACCCCACCCGTCGCGGTATCGTGCATGGGCGTTTACGGTATCATACATAATTTTCGATCACCCCAGATTCTTGGTATCATAATATCATACCAACCAGACGTTGAAGTGAGTCGCTGCTCCAGAGGTGCTGTTACAATACGGTGCTGAAGTGTCAAAATTCTGATATCAATATAACCCCCAGAAATGATCCAAGCTAGCCCCTTTCTTTCTTCCTCATGCCAGCTTCTCCATTAGGTCACAGGAGCACTTTCCGCCCGGCCGCCACGAGTATTCTACGGTGTTTACTCGTACGAGTACAGTACATCGCTTGGGGGGGTCCTGGACTAACCGGTAAGTTCAGGTGATCCAAATCGAGGGGGTGGGTCTCCATAATGTGCGGGCGGGCCATGCTAGCAGCGTTGTTCCAGGGAATCACTGGTGCCGTGCATACATGTACGAGTACATACCCCACGGTCACCCCAACTGCAAGGAACACATCAAAAAAAAATCTCCCCAATATCTAGGGGGCGGATAGGATGATGCGCCATTCTCCTGGCGCCCGCAGTGCAATTTTTTTTTCAGCATTGTTGTGCTCCTGTTGGTGATATTATGATGCCTAATCCATCTGCATCCGGCTTATTAAAGAAGAATAAAACGCGATATCTGATGAATAGAAGGTGGGTCAAATCACCACGATCGATCCCTACTGAATCGGGAAAGCGGGCTTGTGGGGTGGTTTCGGCTCTGGACCTTTTACAGTACTCGTACAGTACAGTACTCGTACAGCCCTTCAAAAGAGCATCAGGGTTGTTGGACTTCTAGGACTGAGGTGCAGATGTCGCACCGCAGTGAATGACAGGAGGAAGCCCCGCTTCTCCTTTATTTTAACCCGGGCTGTTGGAATGTGAAACGTTGCTCTAGTCTTCTTCTTCTTCTTCTTCTTCTTCTTCTCCTTCTTCCTCTTCAAGTTAAGACCTGCTGACACAGACAACACTTTTTGGGACGTAGGGATTAATGAGATTGCGAGTAGAGGCATTCAGTCCCGGGTTGAAATGTGCTTAGGCAAGTTTCCCAAGGTCCACTCGAATGTGGCACCCGAGAAACGCTTTCTCAATTCCGGGGCTGAATGCCTCCACGAGAATTCCTTTTTTATGAATCCACAAGCACGCGTGCGATATTGGCTCCTCTACCTTTGTTTCCCTCGAACCATTCCCATCCTCTCAAATCATCCCTAGCTACGGTAGCTCTCGGTCTCGGCTGGCTCTCTTAATTTTTTTTTCTTTTTCACCACACAATCTCGATTCCCGAATGTCGGGTTAACCCCCTGTCCTGTTTTCTGGATACAGATCCGTTAGATCCTATTGGCCAATAGGTAGTGGGAGTGCTCACCATGTGAGCATCCTATTGGTCGGTTGGACGACAACAGTTAATCGACCAGGGTGTCGATGTACAAGGGTAGATCATGAATTGATGGTACAGAGCAGGGATCAGAGGTTGGAGAGCAGTGGTACAGCGCTTGCAGAGGTGTACCATAATTTTGTCCAAACCAGAGTTCTTGAATCTAAGATATTACATGAGAGAAAATTCACAAAAATACAAACTCTTCATATAACTACTGGAAATAGTAAGGACACTATTTATATGTAAAAATATCCACTCAACTCCCAACTTCTTAAGAGTAGTTCGCAATTGAACTTTTAAATTCTGCCAAGACACAGTTTTCCTACCAAAACAATGGTCTTGGCACAATTTTGAGGAAAGGTTTAATGCTACTGCTCCTCAGAGAATTTATATCATTTGAGGTTTCAATCATAGTAAAGTAGCATAAACATTTTATAAACATCCTATGAAGTTCTCCTATTTTTTATTTTGGTATTGGTGCTGGAATAAGTGTGTGAAACTGGCCATTTATAGTATAAAATCACTTGAGTGCACTCAAACACAGATTATTTCAACTGTACCAAAGTTGCCTTTACAACGGAGAATGACCCCCCCTGCTCTGTACCATGAATTCATGGTCTACCCTTGTACCGTAACTCTCCCACGATGCCGGGAAAGCGACTCCTTCGTGGGGTATGAGGTAAGAAAAACAGGGGGATTTTGTGGTCGGTTTCGACGGTCAAACAACTTGTAGTTGGTCATGGAGTTTTCGAAAGTGAAATAAAGATTCAGCGCAACGAAAGAGCGTTGATGAGTGACAGATAAGTTTTGTGAGAAGCGATAATGGGTTAACATGATATGGGGCTGCTCGGGATTGGATTTGTTTTTTTTTTTGCGGGCCCGTTCCCCGTTCCCGATGAAATTTCCATGTCGTTGTCCTGACTTGCATACGATCCCCGGATTGCTCCGTTTCTTTTTTTTTCTCCTCCCTCCTTTCTCCCTAATTTAAGGCGGGAAAACTGCGGAGTCAACGGGTGTGGTATGGTACTCGTACCGGGCATCAAGGGTAAGCCTGTCGAACTTCTCACTAGCCACCTGACAAGAGTTCAACAGACCTTTTTCCTTCACCAAAAATTAGTTTAGATTGGCCATATGGCTGCAGAAAAAAACGAGAGAACGGTACCCTCATAGTAATTTCGTCGAAACAGCTAAAGTTCGGCGGACTTATGTTCACACCCTAGATGCCTGGTACAGTGTGATACAGCACGGTACGTACGGAGGTCTGAGGTGGCAAGGTACCGGTATGTGCCCTTGGTCTAATGGCTGCTTCTCGGTAACTGCGCTTTCTTAGAAACACAGAAAATGATTCGAAAAATGCGCCCCCCCCATCTAGACTCAGAATCTGTGGTCTAGGGTTTCACTCGAGTTATCGGACCTCTCCGGGTTCCTACTTGTACTCGTACTGGACTCGCTTCTCTGGGGATTCCTTTTCCTATGTCCAAGAAGATCTCTGGTCGCATTCCGTCGCATCATCTATCGAAGTCGGCCACCCTATCGGCTAAAGAGGGAAGTGAGAAGTTTCCAGTGGTATTTCTGCGAGTACTCGAGTACAGTACGGTACTCGAGTAGACAGAATAGACCTTACCGCACTGTTACCGCTACATTCACTTGCTCCACTTTCAATATTTTTGGGTAGTGGCTTCTCTGGTGTGTGCCCCCACGGTTGACGTCCGTGAGACTTAAGACTGCTGGCAGCGGTCATAAACTACCGTATGGTACTCGAGTGCTACCTAGTACTCGTACAGTACTCGAGTACAGTACTCGAGTAGGGGGACCATGGCGTTATTTTTCTGGCACGCAACAATACAAGTACTCGTGCGGGATGTCTCAGGTGGAGCTCACGCTTCCCGCAATTCTCTCCCCGGGCAACGAGTACCGTACAGTACGGTACCAGTACTAGTACAGTACTGTATTCTACGGTGCGAGAAACAGGGAATAGAAAATCTGTGCGGATGATATCTCGGGGCGCCAATACAAAATATACGGTATCCACCCCCTGTTTTCGGGCACTCTCTCCCTGGAACAAGTAACAAAGATCTACAGGCTTCGAGCCATACGAGGAGGAATGTATCGGATTGGTTCCCATGGCCACCAAATCTGCAGAGTTTCATGGATGAGAGGGCGCTCGTAAGCATAGGACCCTTTTTTTTCTTTTTCTTTTCTTTTCCCTTTCCTTTCAAGGAGAAACTGCTCACGCGATCAGGATGGGAAACATCCCAACCTGAGATAATGCTTTTTCTTCTTCTCCTTCCCCTTTCGATCGCGGTGCCAGAGGACGTGTTACCTGTAGCAGTGTGTTTATATGGTCCTAGTAGGTCCCTTCTGGGTATGGTACTGGTACTTGTACCATTGAGGGGCATAGCTAGTCTGAGTTATCCTCGGTGAATTTCTACGGCTCCGAAGTTGGCAAAAAGAAACGATTTTCCAAGTTTTTTTGCGAAGGATGGGTGGATGGATGGTGGGTGATGAAAATGCTGTGTCCTCAAGGTTATCAAGTCCTATGGAAACAATGCCGCCATGCGAGGAAAAGTGCCGGGTCCTAGGCCACGGCAATAATATATTGTAATGTGGTAGACATTCCATCATGGGAAGTTGTTTATCATTTCATGATACTCTTTACGAACCTACCAATAGTCTCATGAGAGGGGAAAGAAATGGGGGGGGAGGAAAGAAGGCCGGTGCAAGAATTTCTGAACTGTCCAGTGCCCGCTGTACCAAGTGTATATGTATGCACTCTACTAACGGGTTACAAGTTGTGTATTGCGAATAGTATGGTAGCCGCCATTCCGTGATGGTGGGGGAAATGGTTTTTCGAGCCTGGGCGGAGCCATTTGGGGGGGAAGTGGGTGAAAACTTGACCAATCACAGCTGATAATCACCCGATCCCGGCTGTATGTCTTTTCTCCCTTTCTCTCACCTCTCCCCCACCCCCTCCACCTCCCACAATCCCTTCGAGCACACCGCTTTTTAGTAACCGGCAGCCGTGCAAAATGGCCACAACATACCGGCATTTGTACCAGTATTCCGCATCAATTTCGAGAGATTGAGATAAATACGCAACCGGTTTTTTTTTCCCCCTTCTACCTACCATATTTGCTTTAAAACCGCTCTTGACCTCGCTTCAGGTAATATTTTTCGACTAGGGCATATCAAGCTTCGCTCACAAAACGCCAATTTACGGTAACCCAAGGGTGAAGAGGGGAGAAGGAGGAAGAAAAAAAGAAAAGAAAAAAAGGAAAGAAAGAAAGAAGCCTGGCTTAAATAGTTTTTCTACTGGAAATCCCATATTTCGCCGTCCGAGGGAAAAAAAAAGATACGACTACGGAGTTGCTTATTCCTAACACCTGCCTGCGGCCCACACGCGGGCTCAACAACTTCTTTTCCTTCCTCCTCTCCTCACCATTTCCCCGAGGACGCTGCTATCCCCGACTCAGCCACTTCTCTGAACCTCTGGGCTTACCTCTTGCCCTCCTCCTCCTCCTTGTTGTCCTATCCCTTCCCGCTCTTTTAGCCCCACCTGCGGCCAGCCTTTCTACCTGCCACTTCCCTCCCACCTACGCACACCAAGAACACCATTCTCCCATAACCTAATAAGGAGCGATTCACTCTCGACAAAAGGCCGAGCGATATTATGAACAACGATGGCACTTCCCTGTGGTCTCACCACCACCAGGTCTCGCCGACCTCGGGCGGATCAGGAGACAATGACAGTGAGGACTTTTCAAGCCTGTTCGACTTCAACAACATTCAGTTGAGCATGTCTTCCCCATTCGACACCACGGGTGCACAGGACGATCATTCGGCCATGGATACCGACTTTCCGAATGCCGATGAGCTTCGGGCAAACGGACATTCAAATGATGCGGGTGGCCCACTGGATACGACGGGTTTGCTGGGCTCGGAGGAAATGCTGGATATGCGGTTTCATGATTTGCACTCGTTGCAGACATCACAGCAGCAGCATCACCACCACCAGCAGCAGCACCACCATGCGCAAATGCTAGCTCGCCAACACATGATGCAGCAGAACGGCATGATCCCTCCTACCCCCTCGAGTATTGACCTTCAGACTGGCCTCCCGCATGGCCCGTGCTCGCATATGGGCTCGCAATCGGATGTCATGGTGGACAGGTATAATGGGTTAAGAGATGAGCAGGTGTGATTCTCATACCCCTTCCCATCTCGCTAATCTTTGATTGGATCCCTAACATTGACAGATGATATTTACACCTTTGGTTTCACCCGCGGTCACTCCTCTGGACACCAACTTTGTGCACCAAGTCCCCGAATTCGCAATCCCCGGCTACTTCAGCCCTCTGACTTCTCCTGCCCTCGATGCTCACCCTCATAGGACTCATATGCCCAACCCACATATGATGCATGCCCACTCCCAATCGACATCTCCGATTGATCCGGTCGATTCGCAAAATATTAATAAACGGGGAAGCACGGGCCGACGGAAATCCACCACGTCCCGTAATCCCGCTCGGGTGGTTCGGGAGTCGCCGAGTATGAAGGCGCAGAAGAGGAAGTTACCAGCAGCAGCCTTGGCCGCAACCCCAGAGCTCGCGAATGCGCTTTCGAAACAACCCCCAACCCCCACGACAATCCGGCGGAGTGCATCGCAATGCCGGGGCCGGCAGCAGATGGGATTCCAATCGAGTCGGGATACCTCTTCAAACGAATCAGTATCTCCAGAGCCGCTGCCGGAGGTCCTGATGGCGCCCCCACCACCGCCCCGAAATGACAATTCCCGATCCCCGCAGAATGGTCGATCGGACGATGGGTCGTCCACCTCAACAACACCTGGAGCGCCAGCAACCCCCGCGTCACTTATGAAATTGACGAAGACGAATCTACCGACAGAAGACATCCCGCCAATAGCTATGGAGACTTCCGATTTCCTTAACGGCGATGTCGAGAGGGTAATGGCTGATGCTCCGCCGGTTGCCCGGAATGATGGTAGGGCGGCTACGACGACGGTGTCCCCGCGCCCCGGTGGGGACAATCAGTCAACGCCCACTGCTGAAGCTAGCAAGACGCCATCGCTGAAGCCTGTGCCCTCATCAAGCAGTAGCGTCTCATCGGGGTCGAGACATGAAAGTCCTATAAGCATACAGACGCCGAGCAGTATCCTTAACAAACAAAAAATTGGCAAGAGTGGGATGAGTGGGCGCGGAGGAAAAAGGGGGAGTGTTAGTTCGAGTCCCGGATTACAGCCCAAGATTTCGCCGAGTATCAAACCTTTATTACCTTCAGGTGAGTTTCCAAAGCACGCCCTCAGCCCCCCCTCCCTCTTTCCTTGCTGCCGGTGCGCAGTCTGGATGGGTATGTTCCCCCCCTTGGGGAAACAAACCGCCTGTGCATCCTGCGCGGGTTCTGGTACCTTTTGCTGCAAATGAAGACTTCCCCAGGCCGCACGGCTGGGCCTAACCTGTGTTTCCCGTCCACCGATTGTCATCCCACAGCCCACTATAGACGGCCCCCCCACTAACCCTACTTTCCCTCTATCTAGGTATGACCCCCGAAGCGTCCGCTCTCCTCCTAAAATCCAACTACCAAAACATCGTTGAGGGCACCCACAAGCAATTAGGCCTCTCCTACCCAGCCGACCTCTCGACAAACCTGACCTCGAAACGAACATCACACAAGATCGCTGAGCAGGGCCGTCGAAACAGGATCAATAACGCTCTCACCGAGATTGCCTCTTTGTTACCCCAAAAGAGCACTCCTTGTGGGGGGAGCAATTCCGACGGAGGAGATGGGGGGGAGGGGCGGGGTAGTACTGCTAGCGGAGGAGGAGGAGCCGGAGGTAATGCGAGTACGGGGCAGGCGAGTAAAGCCAGCACGGTCGAAATGGCGATCGATTATATCAAGCAGTTGAAGAAGGAGCTGGAAGATACGAAGGGTAAACTGGCCGATGCGGAGAGGAAGTTGGAGGAAAAGGCTGGTGAGGAGAGCTGATCGTTCCGCCGAGCGGAAGCTTCACTTTTTATTATTATTTCTTACTAATTATACCTCTTCTTGATCTCGTCTTTACTCCCCCTTTTCTATCTTTTCCTTTTCCTTCCCCTCCTTTTAGCTGCCTAGGGATCCATGGTATGATATGAAAGGGCGGTCAAGGGAGAGGGGAGGGGAGGTTTCGGCTGGTGCGGCCACGGTCGGTCTGTATGCTACCATACGCTACGGTTGAAACAATAATAATAGTGAGAAAAAAAAGCATAGGAATAACGTTGTTTTGGAGCGGGTGTGGTGTTTTTTTTTTCTTTCCCTCCTCTTTTTTTTAGTTTCATTCGTCCCATCCTTCTTCCACCTTATCCCACCGTGCTCTTTATTACTCGTTCTCCATCTACCTACCCATACATTGGTTCATTCTAACGTCTCCGTTGGGACTAACGGGCTGGCGGAACCCCCCCCCCTTTTTTTTGTTACTTTTCCTTTCAAAGGTTGGTGTTAACAACTTGGAAAGAAGAAAAGAAAAAAACATGGATTTTTTTGTTTACTTTTATTTATTTATGTATGTATGTATGCATGTATGTATGTATGTATATTTGTACGTATGGATGTGGAGGGAGATGTGTTATGTATGATGTTTGGGTGTAGGTATAAGATAGGTGTGGCGGTGAACCAAGTTTTTGTCAAGTTGTGTTGTATGTGAAGATGGGAAAAGTGTTGTAGAGGGGAAGGAAGGAAAGAAAGAGAGTGGAGGAAAAACAAAAGAGGCGAGTGAGGGGGTGTGATTTCCAGAGAAAGAAAAGGTGTAGGGAGTATCACAATTTGTAGGTTGTGTTGAATGAATGGGTGCACGGGTCAGGGGAGGGATGACACTTTGCACAATACAGGCACTGCACTGTGCTCGACTCAGCGCCCCCCCTTGCCTTCTTCCCCCATCCATGTATCCATTCAACTGAAAGGAAAAAAAGAAAAAAAAAACAGAAAACTCCCCCTGCAAACAAAAAAAAACTCCATCCCAAAGGCATAGGCAAGAAAAGCAAGTAGAAACTCCCCACGCACCGTGCCCCAAACCTAAACGAAAGTAGAAAAATAGAAGGCGCGGTAAAAAGATTGGGCCATCAAGACCCCGGCCCGACTATATCCTCGTACCTCGGCAAGCCCACACAAATCTTCTCATCGAGCACCATCTCCCGCTTCTCCCAGACAATCTTATACCGCTTCCCGTCCTGCACCAGGTAGTTGCTCTTTCTGGGCGCGTCGCCGCAGAGTACGGTCATGCAGCGGCGAGCGTAGCGAATGTTTGCTTCAGCGGTTAGGATGTGCGGGGGGGACCATTTGCCTGGGGGAGTTTGGGGTTGTTGACTGTTGGGGGGTGTGGTCATTATCGGCGTAGGAGGGGTGGCGGGGGTGCTGACTTGCGGGGAGGCTAGGATGCAGTGGAGTGTTATTGATCCTGGGGCGGTGCTTGAGCGGGGGGAGAGGGGTGTTTGCGTCGCTGGAGTAGCGGCAGTGGCAGGGGCAGTGGGGGCGGTGGTTATACTTGTAGCAATAGGGTGTGGCTGTTGCTGCTGTCTCCGTCGCCGCCCCCTCGGCAGCGTCTGATACCGCGGCAACGACCGCTCCTCGAGTGACGGTGAGAGATCCACGCTCGCGCTTAACGCTTCCAGCCAGTCCAGGAATACCTCTACCCTTTTCGCGGATAGCAGGAATTGCTCTGTCTGCGCGCGTAGGCGGATCACGAATGGTCTCCTTCGATTTGCCATAGTTAGCGCGCGGTAACGATATACTGCTCTGGGGGTGTGGTATGCACTCTACTTTTTGTAATCCGCTGCGACCCCCACCTCGGCCAACTGTAGTGTATAACACCGGATCAGCTCCCCAGGATAGTACCCTGGAGGCCTCCCGCCCGCTATTCCATGACTGCCGCTGCTGCCCCCTTTCTCCTCCAGCTCGTCCACCTCCTTCGGCGCTCTTCCAGAAAAAAAGGGGATACGCTCCGGTCTATGTAGCTTCAATAGTGTCCCATGTAAGACCGCGTACACCTTCACCCACTTGCGCACGCTCGCCCGCTCGAAAGGGCTGCTCAGCTCCATCTTTTGCTCAAATATGGCTTCGCGATGGAGGGAACAGCTATAGGCTGGCAATGTCTCTTTCCCTTCCTCCTCACGTGGGGAGATTTTGAAGCGCGCTGGCGGCAGGGAGATGTCATTGTAACTGGGTGGACTGGTGGGAATCGAGGGGGCAGAAGCGTTGAGGAGGGTACTGTAGCCGCTGGAATGGTGGTGCTCCGTTGCGGCCCGCCGGAGGGGGTTGGAGTGTGCGAGGAAACGCGCGATGCGGAGACCGGGTTCTCCGTCCGCGGTTTGGGAACCACCGACGTTCGACATCTTTGGCTTTTCTCTTGCCTTTTGCCGGAACCAATTGTTTGGTTTTGGTTGGTAGCACTCTTCTTGTTAAGATACAACTGTAGTTGTAGCAGTAACTGGGGTACGGTAGTAATCGTACCGGTAGCAGCAGTAAACCCTTGGTTATCCAATGCTGGTCGGTTGCTGACCGACTACAACTCGCGATATGCACCTTGTGAGGGAGTACTGTACTGGTATGAGAGCGTCCACGCACTCCTTCCTCACCTCCAAACGAGCTTGATTCGTTTCTTTTGGGGGAGTTCCAGCTATTATACAAGCTACCCCACCTACCCCCGGCGGATCCCGAATGACACCTCCCTTGGGTAGCGGCTTGAGGACCGCTTGTTATGCTGTGTGTCACCACAAAAAAAAAAGAGCTAGTATCATAATATGGTATCGTAAGACAGCAAAGAAGGAATTGGAAGGCTCTGAACGAGCAGAAAACGTTGTTTGGCTAACACAGTAGGCAGGTTAAACCTTCAAAGCGCTAGCAGCAGCAAAGAAATACCGATTGTGGATGTATAAGCGAGCGGAATTTAATTATGATTTCAGGGCGGATTAGGCGGGGCGAGGTAGGTATCGGACGATGGGTGGGAGGGAGGGAGGGTGCGGACTATAAAGAAACCATTAGGAGATTTCTTCAAGGGCAGAGGGATAGATGGATTGGGTTGCATGGGGACTGTACCGTAAGGCTTTCTGCTACGAGTACAGTAAGAAACAGAGGCTAATCAACAGCAGCGCCGAGCAAGATAAGAATGTCTTGGGCTATGATGCGATGCTCCTCTGAGGAGAAAAGACGGGAAAAGAGGAAAAAAAGGAAAACGAATGTCATTTGCTATCCGCTGGGTTTGTCATTCGTTCCCAGCTTAACCAACCCAGCGGGGGAAACCCGAAGCGTCGGAGCGACAGGCCACGGAGCTGCCAGCACGCCACATGTCAAGGATACAGGTAACTTATCCCAAAGAAATCCCAAGTTTCCGGCACTGCGCCATCATCTCACACGGGTTTTTTCTCCTTCATGACTGTGACTGGGCTCCTTCTCGAACCCTCTTGGCTACGGTTTGAATCAGCAACATCTCGAGCAGTATCATACATACAGTACTGTAGTGCAGTCACTACGGTGCATGTACTCGAAAGTATGGTGGAGGTAGAAAACAAACAAGATTCGCCCGACACCTCACCCCAAAGTTTCATGGTTCGCGCTTTCGCTGGCTCTGGTTTCCCGTTCCCGGGTTCACCGGCAGCGAGATGCGGCTCCCTTTCGGAACAACACAGAAAGATTCAAAACAGGCGTATGATGAGAAACGCCATGCAGGATGGGGGAAGAAACCCCCCCCACCTCCCTCTTCCCCCATTCGTACCAATCAAGTGAAATGGTTTGTTTCTGTGCTAGTTTTGTTAACCGTATTATACCATTGAAGCAGTGGGTAAGACAGTCCAGCCTTCCATAGCACGGGTCCAAGTAGTAGTACGAGTAGATAGATGTGTTCCACATTTAGGCAAAGGTTCCACCGGAGCCTTTCTCTCCCATCGAACCACTCAGCCCGGAGCCATGAGGGTTTCTGTGATCGATTTAGCGGTAGCGGGGTTGGCACTTGTAATAGGAGGCATTATGGTGTGGAGGCAGGCCTCGGAGAAGCCCCCCCTTCCTAAAGAGTTTGTGGATGCAGTCTTCGACTGTCCAATCTCCTTGGTAAATTGAGGGAGGGAAGTGAAGGACGGACGCGAAATAGACTACCGTATATGGACAGGAAAAGAAAAAGTATGATATCACACCGGTATTGGTGACAGACCACTCTGTACGAGTACAGTGGTAGGGACTTTGCGAAAAGACTCTGGATGTGGGTCAAACAGGGTTCTGGGCCAATGAGATCACTAAGAATTTGACTCTGGATGCGAAATCGCAAAGTCTCTGATGGCGCGAGAAAAATACCGTATGATACACAAGCACTTGACCCAGAATAGATTAGTATCATATAAAATAAAGCTTCGTTAACCTTATTTGCAACGACATCCTCATCTCCACTACCGCTATCATAGATTGGACTATCCCCAACACGCACGCCACCGCCGAAGGCAGCAACCCAGGAATATCTGATAACCCTTTTTTATATTTTATTCTGTTCCCTCATCCCTCTTTCCTGGAATAGCAGCCATAAGACCAGCTTTGGATCCAATATCTCCAGATGAGCCTGTTCTGTACAAAGTACTATACCAGCTAACTTAAGACCCGACTCTCATAACTCAACCACGAATAATTTATCTTTTGCTTCGTCACCCCGTCAGGCATGCAAAGTATATGTACTGTACTCTACTGTACCGGTACAGCAGCTCGGAAAATAGCCTTGAAAATATTTAGGCGCGCAGCCAAGAGCTGTCAAAGCATCCTCCGACTCTCAATTCAGTTCAATCGGAACGAACAAACGAACAAAAGTCGGGTTTTAGCTGGTGCAGTACCATACAGCCTCAAATACGGTTAATATTCTACGGGAATGATGAAGTGTGATATATCGTCCGCATGGATGGCATGGATCGACGAAGACAGGCGGATTCCGGATCTTCCGTTAAGGGTATCATACGCCGCACACCGCTACTGTCCTGGTACGGCTCCATCCGATGACTTTGTGTCTTATCTTGCTATCATAATTAATTAATCGACTACCATATTGGGAATGGATACGTATGCTGGATCTGGAAGGTCCGGAATCTGCATAGCTCGTCAGTCCATGGCACTCTTACGGTGCAGGTGTGAGAGTAACTGGAACCTTGTTCTGTCGATCCACCGCTGTTGCGAACATCAGGCGTTACAATACCGGTATTATGGGTGTGCATGCCTGTTCGAACGCCTTGACGAAATAAACATAAAAGTATGGACTAGTAGAGAGGAGTTACAAACAGATAAAAGGTTCTATCAACTTTACAATGCCTAAAGCGGTAGTGTGAAAAAGATATGATGTTTCATACTACCGGAAAGATACCTCTCCCATTAAGCACCTCACAAGACATCACTCATTCAGCCAAGAGCTGTGCTCAGATACTCCCATTGGGCCCGGCCCATATTCGACACATCCCGGTCCGGAGTTAAACGAATTTTAGCACTTTTTGAGGTATACGGTATCCGGGTGGAAAAGGTGGGCGCGAATCTACTGCATAGCCGGGGGCATCACCGGGGGGGGGGGGGCATCAAGCAGTAATAATACATGAGGCGAGTGGTAGGGTTTTCCGGCCCCGAACTTGGTATCATGCCGGTATGATGAGGAATTCTTTCCAGGCGACCGGTACGACGGTCACGGCATCGGATGATGCCATACCGTGCTCGAGCACTAACTGGAGCATGTAGGGATGTTTGAGACCGGGGATTATTGGCTGTGAAAAACAAACCATTTATAAGGAGGTGGGAGAAATGCCGGGGCTCGTATGGTACGGTATCATACGAGTACAGCGTGCACAGAATCCCGTGATGCCGTAACCCATAAAACATCGGGACCGGTATCGACACTATTTCATGATGGCATGGTAGGAGAAAGATTTTTTCGTCCATTCATTCATTCGATCAAAGCGCGTCAGGTTATCACGCCGCATGCTGCGGCTAAGGGTCATAAGCACTTATACCGTTCCGCACTTGTGTTCCATGAACTCCAGACCATCGGGAATACCTCCCAAATTCATGACTTTTACTGTATCATACAATACGCGCGAGGGAACAAGTGCATGAAGCACTATATCTCACCTTCATGAGCTAACTCTCGACAACCAATCTGCGCTAAACAGGCCCTCGTCCACCGCCTCCACCACCACCTCTTTGACGATAGGGCCCGGTTCAATCCCTTTCAATAGTTCACCTCCATCCCCGCCCTCGAACGCCACCATAGCCTCTTTAACTGCGGCTTCAATTCTGATCCTTGCATCGCCTTCAAGCCTTTTCGCCCCGCGATAGTAAACGCCCGCATTTTTGACCAAGACATCTCTGCTCTCCGCCGCAGCGGGGACGCTCAGCTTGGCCCTTAAGATTTCCACGTCCCCTCTTGCGATGTGAATCTCGGACTTGGCTGGCTCAAGCTTGGCTGCTGCAGACAAACTTTTTGCGGAAAGTGCGTAATGCCTCCAGGCCAAATTGGCCGCAGCACCCCCCTCCTCCGTCTTCTCTGAGGCGGCGGAGGCAAGCTGGATGTGAGCGTCGGCTTTATCGCATAATTCCTGAAAGCCTTGGGCTGTACCTTCGGAATTCGGAAAGGCTAAGTGGATGGCTGCCTCCCACCCGGCGAGGTCGGTCAGTCCTGCTCTAAAGCTAGCTTCTCCGAGCGATACCCCGAAATTGGCTTTGGCAAGTGCGACGTCCTGCTCTCGCCCTATCTCTTGGGATAGTGGGATTATCTTTGACGAGATCAGGGTTTCACCCATGGATTGTGCCCAGGATAATGACTTTCCTCCTAGGCTCGCTACCGCGCAGAGCGGGAGCAATGACGCACATGCATCTAGTTGAGCAAGTGCCGTGTCTAAGATTTGAGTCAATGTCACGGGGGTCTGTACGATCACCCATTGTGCGCTACCGCTTCCCGACCCTTCGCTCATTTGGTCGTCATCTCCCTGTCCCCCTTCGCTGGGGACGGGATTCTCGTGTTCGCTTGGGGGCTCGTCGGCATCCATGTCGGTGTCTCCTTCATCTCCAATACCGGTACCGGTACCGTTCCCTAGGCCGAGTGAGGCGTGCTGGGATTCCTGGACCTGAAGGCATTTCTGAAATACCTCTACCGCCTCGCACAAAAAGTTTGAAGCCTCGGACCGGACTTCGACAGGTGTGTTCCTATACTCGACTAGGGCTTCTGCAAGGCTACAGAGAACTTGCCCCGTATTACTAACGTATCCGGTTAGCTCTCCACGGATATTATCGAATTCGAATTGGATCGAATTGGAAAAGGACCCACAATAAGGCATCTTGATTCTCGGGGTTCAGAACCAGGCATTCCCTATGGCTCTGTACCGCCTTCTCTAATAGTGATCTCGGGGTTACGTCTGAAGGAGTGGGAAGCAGATTCGGATGTTGCGCTAGCTGGTACTGCAAACGTGCTCTATAGTACTCGAGTTAGCGAGCGAGCCACTTGTAACTTGGTGAACGGAAACTCAATCACCTATTATAAGTCGCATCAAAAGACCACTGATTCCTCTGTAACGCCGCCTCGTAACTCTCTATAGCCTTAATGTAAAACCTCCCAGCCTAGTATGATGCGCACCACCCATCCATCCCACAACGTGTCAATTCCACATTCCCCAAGTCACTATACGGGTAGACATAACACATAACAACATAACACACCTTAACTTTATCCCCAGCCCTCCACCGATCCCCAGACTCCTCCAATTCGATACCAGCTGGCAGGCAATTCCCGCATCATCAGTACCACACCGGGTTTCCAAGAGGAACCTCACTAACCGTCAAGGAATTCCTCAGAAGTCTCCGGGAGCTACGGTACCGGTTTTTGTGGGTTAGCTTAGCTTACTGTTCTGTGCTGCGGTTTGAGGGATTGGCGGTGGGCAGTGGTCGTGGTGATTGATGTGTGCATGCATGACTTACCTTCTTCTTCCGCTTGTTACTGCGAATGGGTGGGAGTCTACGTTTCGGCATTTGGGGGGTAAGAGAGAGGGGAAAATAAATAAAAGTGGGTTCACTTTATAGTAGGTAAGTATCATATCATAGCGGGAAGGAGGGAGGGAGGGAGGGGAAGATGAGGCTGAGAATTAAAGTTGTGGAGAGGAGCTTGGCGGAGGTGGTTGTCACATGTCCAGTCCTCCTAGGAAAACGTTACCGGGAGTCTACATACACTGTAGAAACCTATGATACGAACGAGAATTCGGGATGGGTATCATTAACTGCATACCCCCCCTCCTTGAACAATTACATAGAAAAAGCCGTACATGTACATGATCCGGTAGAGAAATCAAAGTATGAAACACTCGATCAAGTCATCAAGTCAATCCTCCATAACCTCCTCCCCGGCAACCTCCTTCCTCCCGGCCACAACCACCTCCACAGCTCCATCCAGCATGCCCAACCTTCCCTCCAACATTTTAACCAACTCCTCAATCTCCCGCCTCTGGGCTTCGATCTTCCCCATCAACTCGGTATTGCTCCCCTGCACGACCTCGATCTTGCCCGCAACCTCCTTCTGCGCGGCAAGTAGTAAAGGCGTGAGTTGTGCCGTGAGGATAGTAACCGGCGGTAGCGTAGAAGGACTATTTCGTAGATCAGCATATATGATACCACCACGGGAGAACAGAAAAGAAAGAAAGAAAGAAAGACAAAGCGGAACAAGATGGGGGTAAATACGAAACAGCAACCTCCCCGGGAGCAGCCTTGGCCTTACGCTCCTCCGCTTCCCTGGTCAATTCGTCGAGGGCATTCAGACCAGCCACCACGTTTCGTTCCTTCAGGATTGTCTCGTATTCCCTCTGTACAAATCATCCCCCCTTCATATTAGCCACACCTTCTTTTCTCCTCTACCACCCAGTCCAGTCCCCTCACGGAGCGGGAGAGAGAAAGCAGCGGGGTGTTATTATTGTTGTCGTTACTATTATACTTTAGCACTGCTCTCCCAAAACCCACACATTTGCTCCCAAGCGTTCCTGAGAACTTCCGGCGCGCGCCGCGCCGGTGTTGGGAAGCACGCGGCGAAGTTCTCGTACGAGCAGGTCTTTATGCTGCGATCGAGGGCCGCCGTGAAGATGTTGCGGAGGGCGGTTGCACGGACGCCTTCTGCTAACTCTTCCGGCTCTTGTTTGTCTTCCCGCTTCCCTGGGTCTGGATCTGGCTCTGTCGATGTGGGTAGTGGTGGTGGTTGCGGATTTGGATCGGACATTTGGCGCGTGGTTGCAGCACTGCGAGGGTTGGCGCGTTCTCTTTTTTTTTTGGCGGGGTGAAGTTGGGTTGCGGTTGGGGTTGGTGGTGGTATCATGTCATAGTGGTGGTGGTGGTGGTGGTTGTGGCGGCATTTCCAATGATCCCGCCGAGTATAATGTCTTGCCCGATACTCCTCCAAGTTTGTACGAAAAGGTCGCGTGGCCCAATGGCAAGGCGCTTGACTACGACTTCAACGGATATCAAGAGATTGCAGGTTCGATCCCTGCCGCGATCATTTTGACAGTTTTTTTTTTTTTTAATATTCTCTTCTGGCAACGTAGGTGAATTTATATTTACCGGTACCCACTCGGTGAGCCAAATCCATAAGCGATCGGATGTGATATTTGGGGGAATAGTTGCCGTAGCATGAATCTCATGCGACTCGTCATCCTCTCTTTATTTCTTGGATACCGGTTAGGGGTTACAAGAAAATTGCCAGTTAAAGAGGTTTTCCTCGTCTCGAGCTAATTATTAACCCCGCAGCTCTGCGCGAAAAGTGACCAAGTGGCCAAGCATCGGAGCCTCAAGGAGCAAAACCACCAGCCACCAGGACTGGGCTTAACTTAGGCCTCCGATAACTAAGGTACTACCAAGTTAACATGGGCCGGGGGGGGGGGGGGGTCAACAAACAGAGGGGCTCAACAGACCAAATGGAACCACCGTTCACCAAGGCCTTTTTAATGTATTGTTCACTGAGCCCCCCCTGTTTGCTGAGTCCTCCCCTATGTTATATTTGTAGTAGTGGGACGGGACGCCTGAAAACTTCGCGAGTGACCACGTGTGAACTACGAATTATGCTTTCATCGTATGATACATAGCAGAGCATTCTTCTTTTTCACCCCCTTCCCACCGGCCCTCCAATTACCGTCCCAAACGACTCGAAAAAGCGGAAGGAAAAGTGGGGAAGGAAAAAAAGACAACCGTTCCATTCTGAATCCCGTGAGTATCATCATGAAAAACCACTCATTACCTCGATGCAAACCGCATAGAAATCTTGGAGACGGGGGAATCAAAGAAATGAATGAGGAAGAAGAAAATCGCTTGATAACAGAGCTGGGAATAGAGGGAAACACCGGGACCAGAAAGGGATCAAGAACAATAACTGGAAAAAATGGAAAAAAAAAAGAAAGAAAAAATGGAAATAGAGGGTAAGATCTATACATAAGTATGATAGTAGTAGCCTTGGAGAAACACACAGCGAACAATCGGCACCACCACCACGGCTCTTAACTCTTCCTCCTGCTATAAAGCGTGGAAGGATGTCATGCCGTATGCACCTTGTTACCAAATCCCAACGAGCTCTCCAGCTTCATGCCCAACGACAACTAAAATCCGAGCCCCCTAATATAAAATGCACCCCTTACATAACCTAACACTTCAGTAATCCATCCCCACATCCACTGAAGCGTATCCCACATAGCCCGAGCAAGAAACGCTTCTCGTTCAACTTAGTTGGTCTCGTCTCTGATAAGAGCAACAATCATACTGTATAGGTAGAAGAAGAACATGACTAGGTGAAAGCCGAGTTTGATAAAAGATTCCTAAAATTCACCATGATAGGTGGTTAGCGAATAAACAGGATGTTAAATATTATAGATAAGACATTTTACCTTCTTGTGCTTGTTTAGCGTTCGGAAGATCTCCGTAGCATCTAGGAGATGAGCATTATCCAAAATCCTATTCAATAAATTAGCCAAGTGTTGAAGGTAAAAAAGGGTGTTTAAAACACTTCTAAATCCTGCCTCGCAATGACGGCCAATCACGTCATAGGGGTCATAAGGACGCAGGCTTCCAGAAAAGAAACGATAAAAGGAAGAAACATCCAAAAAAAATCAATGAAAGTGCATACTTCTTAACGTTAAATACCACGAGCGGGAGATTGAGTAGTAGTGCGAGCCAGTACCCATTAACCAAGAATAAAGCGGTGAGGAAAGCGTGGACAGCGGCTTCAGGGACGATGTAGGTGTTGAGGCGGTTGCAAAGGTCGATGGGGTTGATGTAATCGCATTCAAGGTCCGAGTACCTGAACCGAACCAAGACGTCAGCTTCCGAACAATAAACGGGAAAGGGAAGCCTCATCAGTTGAGGAGGGCTTGATATATATACGGACATTATGGTAAAGAAGACTTGGAGAAATAGGTTGACGGCATTTAATAATACCGCCAGAAGGTATAGCCACGCTTCGCCGGACATAATGATCCCTAATTATTCTTTTCGGGTCGTTGATCGTTCCGTCGTTGATTAAGCGCGCGATACGTAAAGACGTTAGTGAGGGAAAAGGCAGAGATAAGGGCAAACAGATCGTAGAATGCAACAATCCGCCAGGTTGAAAGACTAGGCCGCAGTGGCAATGAGAGTTAGTGATCTGTCCTGTCGGGTTGAGAAACGATTTTGCTTAAAGACAGATTTACTTACGGAAGGGAGGCGGAAGGTGGAAGGCAGCGAGAATGGGGTGGATGAAGCAAGAAAGAGACTGTTGTGTCAGGAAGGGAAAGAAGGTTTTCGAAAGAAAAGCAAGAGGAAAAAGCACGGAGGTGCTCCCTGGCCAAAGACATCAATCAGGGATTAAAGATCCCAGCTCACGGCTAAATTTGTCAGAATTATCAGTTACCCTCTCTTCCATCATAGCTGTTGCATCCACCTTCGTCGTCCTGTATTTTCAAATGCTCTGCTCGGTGGCGCTCCGTTCCATTACTTATCAAAGGTGTGCCAGTAATGATTATATAAGGATACTGTTAAGTTCGCTGAAATTCTCTTTATTCCTGTTTTATTGTGATAACCTGTCAACTTTTAGCTCTATGGGTCGCTCGGAGGATTGTACCCATTAGTTTTCTTTGGACTGGTGTCGCATGCGAATCATGAAAGATCACTCGAAATGGTTGACCTATGATTTCGAGTAAACACCTGGCGTTTCTACAATTTCCGGCACCAGGGCCCGCTTTCTCGTTGATCGAGTTATTTTGCTGTACCCTATACCTGCAATGGTTTTATGTGTCCGGAATAGGGTATCCACAAAACTTTTAAGTTGTATTAACTCCATCGTAGAACAGCCCATCAATGTTGTGATGATTTGTCAGGTTATTCTGCGGGGATAACGGGAAGGTATGTATTTCTAGTCATTGCAAGTAGTGGTTGCGGTCGGGGCATCACCAGAGTATATCGCTCTTGAGAAAGTATCATACCTGGTTCTTTAACCTTGAAAAGACCGTGAGGCCACTAAAGCTTGATGGTGTAGAGTAAGGTAAAGTTCATACGTCCGTCGGTATATGAGGAATGGGATGGGGCAGAAACACTTGTTGGCTGATGTCAAAGTTATTGAGGAGGGGGAAACCAGAGTTCCCTTGGTGGGTTAATAGGAGATTTGCGTAATTGAGAGTTAGGGGTGGATTAATAGGTATGGGCGGCAGCTCTGTTGGTTGTTTTGTTTGATTCATATACTTAGCTACCCCTAGAAACACGGTTTCATAGGGGCTTCCGGTGTTCTTCCGTATTTGGGGATAATGGCATTTGGTTGGCGATGCTCTGGTAATGTAAGGGCTCTCGGCCTGTGCTGTTTGTGCGAATTCTATGATGTGTGCCCCACTTTTATTGTTAGATTTTGATAAACACTGACATGCAAGATGCTATTGTCGGGAATACTCTCTAACGCTTATTGGATATCGGTTTTGAGAGTGAATTGTGGGGGGGGGGGGTGACGGTAGTCATGAGTATTTTGTGGTGGTGTGCCCTCATGCATAGAAACGCCGGAAATAAAGCTGGTAAAGGACTCCGAAATACTCATCACTTTCCGCAATCTCCTGCGCAGTCGCTAACCAGTGGTCTAGAGTCGTCCAGGGACTGCTATGCTGGCTGAAATCCAGAACCGTGTAATATATCTAAAATTATGTAGAGTTGGGTCATGTTAATGCAATACTTAGGGAGCGATGAAGAGGGTCTGGAGTGGGTGTTATTTCTGTTTGAAAGACCTTTCCACCTCAGTATTATCGATTTATTGGTAGTGCTACACGGATGTCGAATATGAGTTTCTCTATGCTCAACTTGGCCCTAAAATGAAGAACTTGGACGAGTATAATCACACTACCAGTGCCGGAGCCCCGCTGGACCCAATGGAATTGTGGGGAGTTAAGTCTAGTTTATTACTGGGGTACTCCTCATACCGAAAATCGGGCCTTTAGGCTGCTCCTTGGTCTTTGGCATTTCCTTGCTCGCATTTCGCACGATACAGGGACCGACTGTGCTATCTACAGTACTTGCAATGTGACCTATAGACGAAACTTTTAGTGAGGTTGGAGGAAGCACCACTTCGGATATCCACGCCTGTAATAGATGAATGAACAAAAGATACAAATATGATAATGTGCTGTCAATACACCTACGGGGCGTCATATGTGGAAAATCGACTGAAGTTAAGATCCGCTGGGGAATGCAAAGGTTACATAATCAGGCTGTCTGAGGGGCCCTGAGGTTAAGGCTTCAGGGCATTCAGGGTTTCCATCCAAGCTACTGAAGAATTTGGTGAATTCGGGAATGGGCAAAACACACCAAGAAAGATTAGTAAGTAGAGCCCGGTACAGCATGCTTTTGAATGGTGGGATCGATCCTCATGATTACTATAGTTGGGGGCTGGTGGGGTGCATGATGTCTGATGAGTAGCAGGGTGAGGCGTCAAAGAGTGCCTATTAGGATTGAAGTGGAGAAATTGCGGGGAAATTCAAATATGATCTTGAAGAAATACCAGTGAGTAGTGTGCATATCACAAGCCGATGCACGCCAATGCTCTGGGGTTGGAAATACCCTCTGGGGCGCCATTTCGGGTGGACCTAAAGCATGGTGCTCTAGGAAGTGCTCATCCGTAGTTCCTGGGCGGAACTCATGGTTGGTCGCCCACCGTGCAGGCGCGCTTCCCCGCAAAACCACACCAGATTGGGGGGGACTGACGTGAGAAATTCGAGTTCACTGTTAACCCTGTTATGAATTCCCACCAAATTCTAAATTCAAGTAGGCGGGAATCTGGGGATCAATATTCCGCTGCTTACACCATTGATGGACCTGGGGGTCCCCTGGTATGAGATCGCTTGTGTAGATCCAGTTTAAGCACCTGTAATTTATGCGGCAACTCATATAACGAGGCACTTATTTCTAAAATATTCGATTCCAGAAGTTCACGCAGGTTACAACACTGCATTATTTTCTGAAGTCTTGACATTCCTGTTATGCGTACAGCAAGATGTTTCACTGAGGAGGGGACAGCTGTAATTTACCGGTAATTGGACAATGTCTGGTCATGATGTAAACCTATGAAAATCATTATTTTTAGTGCAAATGCACGGCGAACAATCAGGTATATCACTGAGCTGCACGGCTTGGAAGCAAAGGAGGCTTGCACTGTATATGGCAGGACTTGTGTGTAATGATAAAGATGAGCTATGGGGAGGAAGAATGATGATGATAGTGATGAAGTTGAGGTAAGGTGCCCACCACTGGCTGTATGCTCACGGCGTCCAGCTTGGCACGACGACACCGGCATCATATCCAGATCCTTTGGGCAACCTCCGAGGATGACAAGGGTAACCAGGCTGCTGTCCAGGCGGCACTTTCGGTACCGGTATCATGCTCCTCCACTGTTGCCTGGGTTCTGAGAGGTGAGAAGGCTGAGCTGAGCACTCACAGAGGTTTTGGAAACTTATAGAAAGTTGTGGGCGCTGGGCAGGGGGTTGTAAAGTACTAATGTTTGGTGGCGATAAGATAAGTTTAGGATGTTGAAAAGCGCAGGTACTCGAGTGCGAAAAAGGTAGGGAAAAAAAAGTATTTCACAGTGACTTTGAATAATGAAAAAAATTCACAAATTGGGACGAAATCTTGCACCATCAGGGGAAAGAGTGTAAGACCGCTCCAATCAGAGCAATTCCAGCATCTTCTCTGGTTCTTTGAGTTTCTTTGCAGCGGGGCTTTATTTGGTGGGGCTATCCCCTGCACCCCGTTTTTGCGGCTTTGTTGGAGGGTGTGGAAACTACTAGAATGTGCGGTGCGGACGAGTCTTGGCACCAGGACTCCCCCTCTAAATTCACCACCGCTTCGCCCAACCTCTCTCCTCTTCCTCTCTCCCCCTCAGAATATTCATCGTCTAGAAAAACACTCTCGACTTTTCTCAGAGCTCAATCAATTTCTCCTGCGTCTCCTCATCCTCCTCTCTATTTCCCTGCACACCTAGAGATCTATAGACTCGAGAAGGTATGCTATTATTCACCTCGCACTCTTTGCCTTATCCAGGTTGTTTGCTCCTTCTCGATGGGCATCTTGCTGTTCTGTGGAGAGGCTACCGGGGATCCATCCGCCTGTTTTCCTTAAACGTTTCGGGTTCACGGTTAGACTAATTTGATATCCGTCCGCAGATAGCAAACAACCATTGCCATGGCTGAAACTTTCGAATTTCAAGCTGAGATCTCTCAGTTGCTCTCCCTCATTATCAATACTGTATACTCAAATAAGGGTACGACTTTTGAGCCTGGGTTTTTTTGGTTGTTCATAGACTTACCTCTGATTTAGAGATTTTCCTCCGAGAATTGATTTCCAATGCCTCGGACGCTTTGGACAAGATTCGCTACATTTCTCTTTCCGACCCTAGCGCCTTGGACGAGGAGAAGGATCTGAAAATACACATTATTCCTAACAAAGAGGCTAAGACTCTTACAATGTATGCTCCTTGATTTTTATTGAAGCTTCTTTAGTAGTGCTGACAGACATTTTGAATTTAGTCTTGATACTGGTATCGGCTTTACCAAGTCTGATTTGGTGAACAATCTTGGTACCATTGCCCGCTCTGGTACAAAGCAATTCATGGAGGCCCTATCCGCAGGTGCTGATATCTCCATGATTGGTCAATTTGGTGTTGGTTTTTACTCTGCATATCTTGTTGCCGATAAGGTGGAGGTTGTTACCAAGTCGAACGAAGATGGTTGGTTCCTCACTTGCCGCTTCATCTTTTTTTTAAAGCTAACCCAATTATAGAACAATACGTCTGGGAGTCGGCCGCTGGTGGCTCCTTCACCATCAAAATGGATGAGTCCGGAGAGAAAATTTCGCGTGGTACCAAGATTATCCTTCATATCAAGGACGGTTTGCAGGAGTATCTCGAGGAGTCTAAGATTAAGGAGATCGTGAAGAAGCACTCCGAGTTCATCTCATACCCCATCTTCCTCCACGTTACCAAGGAGGTTGAGAGGGAGGTTCCTGATGAGGATGAGGAGGAAGAGAAGACTGAGGAGGGTGATGATAAGAAGCCCAAGATCGAAGAGGTTTGTTTGATTATTCCGTATTATTATTTCCGCTTATTCTAACATTTTGCGTAGGTCGACGAGGAGGAGGAAAAGAAGGAGAAAAAGACTAAGAAGGTGAAGGAGACCAAGGAAGAGGAAGAGGAGTTGAACAAGACAAAGCCCATCTGGACCCGTAATCCTTCCGATATCACTACTGAGGAATATGCCAGCTTCTACAAGTCTTTATCCAACGACTGGGAAGATCATCTTGCTGTCAAGCATTTCTCGGTTGAGGGTCAGCTTGAGTTCCGCGCTATTCTTTTCGTCCCTAAGCGTGCTCCTTTCGACTTGTTCGAGACCAAACGCTCCAAGAACAACATCAAGCTCTACGTCCGCCGTGTATTCATTACTGACGACTGTACTGATTTGATTCCGGAATGGCTTGGTTTTATCAAGGGAGTTGTCGATTCCGAGGATCTCCCACTCAACTTGTCTCGTGAGACTCTCCAGCAGAACAAGATCTTGAAGGTTATCAAGAAAAACATTGTCAAGAAGACTCTTGAAATGTTCAACGAGATCTCCGAGGACCGCGAGCAGTTCGACAAGTTCTACACTGCCTTTAGCAAGAACATCAAGCTTGGTATTCACGAGGATGCCCAAAACCGTCCTGCCCTTGCCAAACTTCTCCGCTTCAACTCTACCAAGAATGGGGATGACGCCACATCTTTGGCTGACTACGTTACCCGCATGCCCGAACACCAGAAGCAGATGTACTACATCACTGGTGAGTCTTTGAAAGCGGTTTCAAAGTCTCCCTTCTTGGACGCTCTCAAAGCCAAGGACTTTGAGGTTCTCTTCTTGGTCGACCCCATTGATGAATACGCTATGACTCAACTCAAGGAATTTGATGGCAAGAAGTTGGTTGATATCACGAAGGACTTCGAACTCGAGGAAACTGAAGAGGAGAAGAAGCAGCGTGAGGAGGAGGAGAAAGCCTTCGAGGGATTGGCTAAGACTCTCAAGGAGGTTCTCGGTGAGAAGGTCGAGAAGGTTGTTGTCTCCCACAAGTTGGTTGACGCCCCTGCCGCCATCCGCACCGGTCAGTTTGGTTGGTCTGCCAATATGGAGCGTATCATGAAGTCACAAGCCCTACGTGGTAAGTTCAACTTCTTTCAGCGTTTGTTCCGGAAATATTCTGATATTAATTGAACTAGATACTTCAATGAGTTCGTACATGGCATCCAAGAAGACCTTTGAAATCTCTCCTAAATCACCTATCATCAGGGCCTTGAAAGCGAAGGCTGAGGAGGAAGGTGGTTCCAAGGCCGTCGCTAGCATCTCCACCCTCTTATATGAGACTGCGATGTTGACTTCTGGCTTCACCCTCGAGGAGCCTAATGCCTTTGCTCAGCGGGTCAACCGCCTCATCTCTCTTGGTCTCCAAATTGAGGAGAATGATGAATGTGACGAGCCTGAGCCTGAGGCAGAGGCAGCTCCGGATGCCGAATCTTCGGCAGTTCCTGAGAGCTCTATGGAGGAGGTTGACTAAACTTAATGATTTACGTTTCCTTCTTCAAATAAAAAAGTTTCTCTATTTCTTTTCGTGTACTTTTTTTTCTTCCTATCCTTCGGTTGGTAGGGCGATGGACGAACAGCAGATATAGGGTAACGGATTTCATTTTCTCTCGGGGTTTCCCGCTTGTATCCCTTTCTAATGTATTTCTTACCAAAGAAATCATTCATTAAGTGCATCGAGGACTGGAGTGGTGAATACCATTTGTGTCTAAAGGTTGAAATTAATTGAATGCTATGGCGTTTATCTGAGCTCTATGGTTTCGATGCCACAATATCGTAGCTTGTAAGTGTTGACAGTAACATACTACCATCTCCCGGGCTGGCCTATTGTAGAGTCTGGAGATTTGGAATGGATGAATTACCTAAAAGTCTTACCTGCAATATTGTAAGTGTACGGTACTGTACAGTACAGTACCGCATCGTCGGTCATCCCCCCAAAGTATCATATGGGTGCCGGGTATGATACCGCATTTAAATTCATGGCACTCCTGTTGTATACGAGTACTATCAGAACCATCAGTCCTCCGCCGAGACAAGGCCTCGCTCCAGGTCCTTATGCTCGGGTACAGTGGTGGCGGGCATACGAAATCGGTCTTGTATGATATTAGAGGAAACCGCAATCGTCAATCAAGCATTAACTGTACTGTAGAGTACTGTACCTGCACCATTTACACACCACAGGGAAAGTACTGTACAGAAACGGGGAGCTTCCCACGGACCTACCCGGGAATCGCTCCTTCAATCCTACCGGCTCTAGCTTTTTTTTTTTTTGCCCGGATTGAACGGGGACTGCTCAAGAGGCGCAGATTTTGTATGAGGAGGGGTATAATATAACGTCATATCATACTCCTGAGCACGCAGGGCGGGTTTTGGGTGACCGGCGTATAATAGTTCTCTCGGGGCTGCCGGGCGTGCAGATTCTCCGGATGTCATAATACCATATGATACTTTCGGGGTTTTGCAAGTATGACAGGGTAAGTTAAGGGTAGATCTTCTGACTGACTTGGATATGCCGCAGACCCGCTGCGATCAGCCCCTTCGTGTCTCGCGGCGGGGCGGGGAGTGGGTTGTGGCGGCGCTGTCTCTGGGGACAGTGCACTATATCCCGGGGCGGTACTGCATTTGGGCCGTCTTTTGGGTTCTACTGTGGCTATTCCCTCTATCCACAGCGACACGTTTGTTTGTTGGCATTTTTGGAGTTCCGTCAGAATTTGGAGAGGTCACATTTCATTAAATCATCAACCTACCATAGCCTAGCCTTAACGACAAGAAATAACTCTATCATTATCGCAGCTTTGTGTTAGAAAAAACATGTGCCAAAAGCCGACGCCTTTCTATCACGAAGAAGATGAACAAGACAGTAAGTAACATGTACATGCCCGAGAGGGAATGAGAAGGTAACAAAAACTAAGCAACTGCTCGGGTATCTTGCCGAGTGAGAAGGTATGAACTTCTTAAAAAAAAAATGCCCGCTCATTCCTCAGGTTCTTACAAAGAGCGTGTCACCCAGGGATACGAAATGTGCCTATGGGATATTGGGGGCAGCTCCCCGCTTACCCCTATCAGGATCCCAGTTGTAATACCCCTTCATAGCGATACAATAAAGTGAGTGCTTATGCCAACTTTCTATACCGGTATCTGCGTATTAGCCATGGCCCGCGAAAAATATAGTTAATATCTTCCCAAAACATACTCCTCTGGCAATCAATATTGCAAAAGTAGCTCTGTCCACACCCCTGGCATCTCTTGAGCCTACCATAATGTCTGGTACCGTTTACATCCGGAGATCGTAATTGCTCCCAGATCCCACAGCCCCAACAAACCCTTGAGCAGGCAAAATCTGGAAGAAGAACTCTAACCTCTTGAGCACATGGTTCGGCAAGGGTGTATCCGGTTCTTGCGAGGATGCCTTGGGCTTCGAGTTGTCTCAGGATGCTAAGGTGGTAGGAGACACTGGTTTTGTGCCAAAAGTGGATCACCCCAGGGCAATAAGAGGGACATTCTTGAGCTGCGGGCGGTGTCAGAAGCCGGGATCAATAGACAGTGGAGCACTGTTTCTGAAAGGGAAAGGGGGAAGTGAGGTCTATCGTACTTGTGTCAGCCGTAAGAAGGCCCAGAACGTCCTCCTGACCAGGGCGGAACGGGTTCCTGGCAGCGTGAACCAAAAGCACGGGCGGGTTCTTCTTCCTGCAGCAATAGTTGTCTGGAAATAGCCCTAGGGTAACTGGAACCGGGTTGACTATCGGATTTTTGCTCGACGGGCGAGTCCCGGGTGGAGGTAGCATGGGATGCTCAACCCCGAAGAAACGAAGTGGTGCTAGAAGCTTCGGGTTTGGGGTCAACCCGTCTGAGACGGAATCGACTTGGGTCGCAGGAACTGTGCCCAGAGTATAGGGGCAGATGAATATGGACTGGTTAGATTCAATTGATTGGCTTGTGCGAGGTGGGTGGGGCATATAGGCAGGTTGGGTAGGAGGTGCGATGGAGGTGGAAGGAATGAGAGAATAGGAGAGATGCGCCGAGCCCTTTTCGCCCCCTGTAGAAGAATTCATTCTGATTTCGGCCACTGTTCTTGCTTCCCTGGTCTCCGCGTTTATACCTGTGAAAATGGGGGGGATGGAGGACGAGATGCAAAGAAGGGCAGGTAGGTTGATGGAGGAGAGAGCTCGGATGGAGGGAAATTGGTATGCGTAATCATTTCTGAGAACACGCACCGGTATACGGGGGCAGGTGTTTGGGTGACCCCTATCGAACCCGGCTCTCGCGGATCCGTGCTAGCATCATGGTTTTCCAGCAGCAGTATGGGACTGATCGCTTCGTGGGATAGCAGGACCCATGCTTTCCACAGACAGAGCGTTGTGTTGCACGTTAACAGCGGGTCCGTTATCTGCACACTTGTGATACTTTATGGATTTAACACTGGAGTGGAGGTAACCTTGATAGATGGTATAAACAATCGATCTCTTGAAGGCTCTTGTCCTGTTATCCGCAAAATTTAGTAGTAACGACGACGGTACAAGGTGGAACGGATTCCGCAGTGACCGTGACCCATGACTGCCGGTACCCCTCGTCCCAAAGCCCTGAAGTGTGAGATATCAACGGAACAAGAGAAGCCATTAAGAACCCAGGGTTATGGTTCGGTCTGCAGCGTCCTAGCCATTCAGGAACCTAGTCCCCAGACCTCTAATCTCTAGGGCCCTCCGGTCGTTTTTGATCCTTTCTGGTTGCACCGTCCTCATGCACACGGGGGGGTCCGCTTGCTCGAGTATAGGGTATCATACCATTATATAATGTTGGGCGGGTCTCGCGCGAGTTGAAGCCCCGTCGATGGTATGATCGCAACTCTGCGTCCGACATCCCCAGCCTCCTTTATCAGCTGTAGGCCTTACATGTTGGTAACGGTGCTCGCAGAACTCCATTGTTTGCATGCATCCTGCCGCATTGCATAACACATCACTAACACCGTTGCATGGGAATTTCATGCCAGCAGGGGATAGGATTGGCAGAGCAATCTGCCAATCAAGCAACGCATTGAAAGCCCGTAATTGCGAACCCCAAAGCACAGGGGCTGCTAAGCCATAGCTCCAGCCAGCGCATAAACGATACTTCAATCGGGACCAGAGCCCAAAAAATTTGCTTGAGATGCGAGTGAGAAAACATGACTTTTTATGCTGAACGGAACAAGCCGTTTACTCCAATCATTAGCCGATCTTCGATGCATGCAAGATTCGTGTCTTGTGTGAAGTGGCTGGATTGGTCAAGAGTGGGAGATCAAGGGCGGAGGACCGGACAAAAAGCCTCGTACGTAGGTCCTCCCGGGATACATATTGGGATCGGAAGGGCTGTGTGATGCGAGCAGACTTTGAGATAAATATCTTGAACGGGGTGGGATAATGATCTCACCTTACTGTCGAAAAGGTTATGCGATTTTACCTCGATTTGGTGGGATGGTGGTCGGTTCCCTCGACCACGGGCAGTGGTGAGAGAGCTAGGGTATGTGCAGAATCCCGGGATGGTCTACGGCGCTCCTGGAGGAAAAAGTACTCAATCGCCCTGAGGCCCAAGGGGCGAGAAGCACAACAGGTCTCATCCGTGAGGTATCGGATCATAACACACAGCGTCGGAGAACTCTCCTTGGGCTGGAGGGACGAGGTAACTCGAGTAATCTATGAAAATTTCGCGTCGCCAGTGCATCCACCCTCAACTTGAACCGCCGCCCTTGGCCCCCCACGAACCGTAAGTTGGCGCCAGAAGGGGTTACCGCATCGTACTTTACGAGTAACCGCTGATTGGATTCTCGTAAGTTATGATTCACACTCCCCGTTTCTCCCGGGCTTGAAACAACTTCCACCTCTCCCGCCCCCCGCTATTGATCACTACCCACCCGCCATTCTCCTGCTGTTTCTTCTCTCCCCTTTCGGATAGAAAAACAAAAGAAAAACTCTCCTCCGGACGTTTAAGCCACCCTTTCTTTCTCCTTCCCCTCCCTCCTCTCCTCCTATCGCCCTTTGGCTCGTTTCCCCCCAGCACAAATCGACACGGCTTTCGTTGGTCTCTCCGCTGTGCGTTGTGCCGATTTTGCTCCCCCTCTCGAACTCCCGTGCTCGCTGTGCCTCCAAAAATAGACCCGCTGGCGTCACATTCCGACCTGCCGAATCCGCAACAACGCCCTGAACACCTCCAACATCAACAGCAGCAGAACCCTCTCCACCAGAGCCACCCAGCCCCACAGGAAATACTCTGCACCGTCACCTCCCTTCTCTGGGATTCTAGGTTTACCTCCGCTAGGCGTCAGCACTTCCCGCCCAAACGCTTGGACTTCGCCTCACCCTTTGGCCCGCTAACCCCCGCTTCAGAGAGTAGCAGGGAGGACACGGAAGACGAGGAAGGGGATTCGGTTTTTTCGGAGGCAGAGTCGGGAACGGACCGAGAAGATTGCGAGGAAAGGTTTCGAGAGAGTAGAAGGACTGCTCCGGAGCAGAAGGGCCCCAGTGCACCCGTTGGAGAAGTAACTATGGACCAAACTGGTAAACGTCATCCGAGCTCTTTCCAGCAGCTGGAGAAACTGGGCGAGGGGACGTATGCGACGGTAGGATCTGCGCTTTCATGTTTGTCTTTGTGTTCTTGCTGTATCACGAGATTTTCGGACGAAACTAATCGGGCACCCACGCTCCCAGGTATTCAAGGGAAGGAACCGGCAGACCGGAGAGTTGGTGGCTCTAAAGGAGATCCACCTCGATAGCGAGGAGGGAACACCCTCAACCGCGATCCGCGAAATCAGTTTGATGAAGGAACTTAAACACGAGAATATCGTTTCGCTCCACGATGTGATACACACCGAATCCAAGCTTATGCTGGTTTTTGAATTCATGGATCGGGATCTCAAGAAGTACATGGATTACCGCGGCGACCGCGGGGCTCTTGACTACGTTACGATCAAGTCTTTCATGCACCAGCTCCTCCAGGGGATCGCCTTTTGCCACGATAACCGCGTTTTGCACAGGGATCTGAAGCCGCAAAACCTTCTTATCAATAACAAAGGGATGCTCAAACTTGCCGATTTCGGCCTTGCCAGAGCCTTTGGTATCCCGGTTAACACCTTCTCAAACGAAGTTGTAACTTTATGGTACCGTGCGCCGGATGTACTCCTTGGCTCCAGGACATACAACACAAGTATAGATATCTGGTCCGCAGGGTGCATCATGGCCGAAATGTACACCGGAAGACCGCTCTTCCCCGGGACCACCAACGAGGATCAATTGCAGAAGATATTCCGTCTAATGGGAACCCCCTCCGAGCGCTCCTGGCCTGGGATCTCACAGTACCCGGAGTACAGAAATAATTTCCACATCTACGCTACCCAGGACCTCCGCATGATCCTTCCGCAGATTGACCCTATGGGCCTAGACCTGCTGAGCCGAATGCTGCAATTGAGACCCGAAATGAGAATTAGCGCCAAGGACGCTCTCAGGCACCCCTGGTTCGCTGATCTAAAGCAACTCCGCGCAGGTATCATGCAAGGTCAACAGCAAGCAGGTGCAGAGAGGGCAAGGTTGGAGGCAGCTGCAAGGGCGCAACAGCAGCAGGGGATGGGGATAGGCGGTGGTATGGGAGGACCGGTTTACTAGGAGAGGGTTGCGACTACGGTTTCACTATGGTTCTGATAAGGGTATTAGATGGTCCCGGGATCTCTGGCGTTGTCCAGGACGTATGGGTGGTTTTGAAGGGAGTTCTTTGGGGGCTTGTGCTATTTCTGTTGTTTGCTCAGGATCTCTTTCCTTCCATCACTTCACTTCCTCTTTCCCCTAGGCGCACTTTCCATCCCTCCTTAGTTTGATTTTATATCTCCATCCCTATTGTATTTCTGTTTGGTGGAGTGTTTTGCTCGAATCTCACTTTCGTGTTTGCTCTTCCACCCATGCTATGTTTCCGGGCTTACCCCTTGCCAGTCCTATTGTGAACCTTCCCTGGCAGGGATTGCCCACCTTGGAACAAGGGGCAGGGAAAAAAGAAAAAAGAAGGTGGGTAGTGTTGGCTTCCTGGGCCGCGGTTATTTGTTAGGCATGTAAAGTTAGCTTTCGCTTGTTATTTTCATTTGTTTCCCCACGACTGTGATCTGGGGGCTAGGGATATTCCGGAAAGGGGGGAATAAAATTATGAGAAACGATACTTATTCTACGAGCGTGGGTCCTCTGGGGGGTTTTTTTTTTCGTCGCCGCTGTCGTACCGTTCCTTCTCCTTCCTCCCGATTTCTGCTCGAGGAGGGGGCAGCTGTTCTCCCAAACGCAATCGCCAAATTGCGATGTGCGCGTCACCAGCCGTGTCGGGGTTTGAAACACTAATGCTGAACCGGGCCTCCGTGACAGCAATCCGCCTGATTGGGTTATCGTTCGAGGGCGTTAATTAAAGCCGGTACTTGCCGTGCGCTCCTGTGTCATTTCCTTCGGGCAATGGAACTCAACGGCATGACCTGCGCGCCCAAATTGCATCTTTTCGTTGGACGTTGCCGAGTTTGAAATAATGATGCCTCCAGTATATCCACTTGTAACATACCGGACCGGGAAGAGTGTTAGACGTACTCGAGTAGCAGTGAACCGCTTTGTATGTGAACTTTGCTCAAATCCTCGCTGTAAGAGTTTCCACAGAATCGCATCTCCGAATCCAGCTTAGAAACTACCTTTTTCATCCTGTGCTATCGGCAATAATTCTCTACTCTTCCGGAAGTGTCCCCCCCCCCACTTGTAGACGTCAATTGAGTTTAGTACTGTAGATATAATATCAGCGTGGTCAAGACTTCGAGTGATCTTTAATGAAGCCAGCGATCTTTGTATGAGCGTCAAATCAGGGTGGGGGGGAGTATGATAGAGATACCATACCGGTACGGCAACCCGATGTATGGTATTATACGTCGTGGCCGATACTGGGGCTTATCATACAGTACCAATACAGCATGGAGGCATAATACGGACTGGAGCCTTCGATGTTCACGATTCGCACATGGGCTGATCACAATTCGTCGAGAGTAGAATCCTCTGCTAGGAGGAGTAGGATGAGGAGGACGGGCGGTATAATTTATATCCCCCCCACCCCTCCCCCCACATCATGTCCACTTAATCCCCTTTCTTCACCTCACGAATACAAAACCTTTACGAGCAGAAAGAAATGGGAAAAGAACATTTTACCAGAGGAATTTTCAAAGAGGTGAATGGATCGGGATGAGGGTTATAGAGTACAGTGGGTAGCATTGTGTGAGGTATACAATGAGTAGTAATGATCAAGATTGGAAGGAATATAATCGGTAGTGGTATTATATAAGGCTGTATGATACTATACTGTATGAGCCACTCAACCGTACCGTAACTGGTCCATCCGGATAGGACAGCAATCCCCTTTCTTTCTCGGATGGGGAGCGGGTTCTGAATTCGATATTAGTACGGTACGATGCCTGGTCGTTCCTGGACAATGCCGCGGTGTGTTTTGTCCATCCACTTGGGGATGTCCGGAAAGTGTGTATGTATGTAACTTAACTCGGCCATGTATGAAAACGGTAACAGCATGTGATGGAACTTTTCAATGTGTCTGTGGACGCGGGGGGGTGGGGACGTTGCTTGTATGTTTCTTCGTTCGTTCGTTCGTTCGTGGCATTATAATCCATCCTTGTGCCGTAGCAGTCGTGAGTTAATTCGCCGCAAAACGAGGGATCAAGATCCATCCAGACGGCTGCAGTTCACCGGTACCGCACCCGCAGTGTTCCCTTTCGAGCTTCCGGAGTTCGTTATATCTATTTGGAGATGTATATATACATCTCCTATCCGGTCGTTAGCCATCATTACCAGCATCTACCATTAATACTTCATTCATCCCTTTACAGCATCATACTTCGAAGGTTGAATGCTTTGTGGACGTGTGGGGATTTGCTGCCTTGAGTTGTTGTAGTCTAGCTGTTCAACTCCAATTCGACTGCGAGGAGTGATTCACGGCAGCATTAGCATAGTACTCGTACTGTACAAGAAGGGTTTCCTGTCATGACGATTATTATTATTATTATTATTGATGTATTACCCTGCATGCGTCATTATCCTGTCGGTAACATTGCCCTGCCATGCTCTGTGTGATATCTCCTGTGAGGGAGTATGGGATGATGGTGGCTTGCCGTAAGTTTACCGTAACTTGATGCCGGCGTGAATGCTTGGGCCAGGCTGGACTAGATGTGATATATCCGTCACGTGAAGTATGATGCAGTAAGCAAAAAGCACCACCACCGTTATATTGCATCGTTTTTGTTTGATCGTACTTCACGTGACGGATAATAACTATCAATCTATCTGTAGCAAAGTCGTACCGTATTGTTTGTCACGGGTGTCGAGTGGAATGCTGTATTGGGGATTCCGTTGAGCGGATACCTTACGGGTACGAAGATTGGTGTGGTCTATGTCATCGAGCACATATCTCATCTTGCAATGCACAATAATGATTTCACCGGTATACGAGTATGATCGTCAGCGGATTCGTAAAAGGTGCAGACATGGTGGCATTGTTAACCCCCCCCCCCCCTTTCACCGAATCCAATCTCTCCATCTGGGAAAGCACTGGTTGGAGGAGAAGACGTAACAGAGGGAGGAGGTCCAGTATTAATGAATGACTAGTTAATCGCAAGAACTTGTAGAAATCAAGCCAGTTACACTATGATATCACAGCCCCTCGTAACCTTTCCATTCCATCCGCACCCATCCCGGGATTACACCGTTTTCAACCAAATCGACCCAGCCCCAAACCCCCCGCCAGAAGAAAGAAACACAGCATCCAACCAAAACTTGTACAAAAACTATAGCGAACTCTTCTTTGAGAAGGACACACCCTCCACTGCCGCCTGATCACAAAACCAACTGACCTTGTCACCCGCACCCAAATTCACCAGTGCACAAGGCAGTACTTCCCCGCCCTCCGCCTCGGGATGGGTGTCAAAGATCTTCCTCATAACCTCCTTCTTCCCAGCGCCCGTCGCAACAAAGGCGATCTTGAGTGCATGGGTGACGACGGGCAACGTGAGCGTGATCCTCCTAGGCGGCGGTTTCGGTGAATCCTCTATAGCAGCGACCCAGGCGTCCTCCTCGCGCAGCAGCCCATGACCGGGAAACAGGGAACAGGTGTGCCCGTCGGGCCCGCAGCCCAGCAGTAGCAGATCGAATATGGGCAGCTTGACCGAGTCCTTCGCAGCGAACGAGCCGATGAGGGCTTTTTCGTATGCGTCCGCCAGGTCCTGCGTGTCCGATAGCATCTCCGGGTCGATGGGGTGCACGGTGGGTTCCGATGCCGTCTTCGGTATCTTGTCTAGGAGTTCCTGCTTCAGTAGGGCGTAATTGCTGTCCGGGTCGGTGAGCGGCACGGCACGCTCATCCGCGAAGAATATTTCCCATTTGCCCCAATGGATGTCCCGACTCGCGAGGAGGACCGGTGAGGCGAGGAGTTTGGGGAGAGAGCCGCCGGAGACGGCAATCTTGAACTTTGGGTGCCGCGCAAGGGCGTCGGATTGGGCTTGGAGGATGTATTGGTAGAGGTTTTGCTGGAGGGTGGAACTGTCGGGGAAGGCGTAGAGGGAGGGTAGTTTGGTCATCTTTGGTGGTGGCTCGTGGGTGTGACGTTTCTGGTTGTTCCCAAAGGCGGTGTTGGTTGTTTGTGAATTGGAGGTAGTGGTTAACTTATGAGGAGGAGGATGTTGTTATTTGAAGCCCGGAGGAGTGATAGGGGGATGCTGGATGTGTAATGGGACCGTGGTGTGACAGAAGGAGAGAAGTGGGGGGGCTGGCCAGGAAACTTTGTGCCCAGATGTTTCCCGCCGCAGCCCAAGAGATAAGAAAAATTATTATTTTTTGTCAGGAGGCACACATGCTCGACCTAGGGCCACCCTTAAGTCAACGGAGTCCTTGCTGCAGATCACAACAACGTCACATTCAACCAAAGAAAAAAAGAAAAAAAAAGCTGTGCAGCAAGAAAAAAAAAAAAAAAAAGGAGTGTTCTGCTCAAAGATGTTCGACCAATTCCCAACAAAGAATCCCCTTCCCAAAGACTGCAATTAGGAGTTGTCACGATTCACGATACGTCCAAATGCGGATTTACTTGTAGAGCGAATTTGCGGACAACGTGTGACACGCCCCAGCACTGTGCGGCGGGGCTTTGAATTCGGACCGCTACAGGCAAGCGGTTTCCCCCGGCCCATTGCCATGCTTTCCCGGCGGATTCGAGCGAGGCGGCGCCGGACAGGGCGACGGTTTGGGTTGCTATTCCCTAGACACTTCTCTATTGGTGAGTTCTGGTTGAGGAATTGTAAGCAACAGGTTGGAGGCATGCACTCGTACTGTACAGTGAAATACAGGAACAATGCAGCAGATATAATAGCCTGCAATCCTACTACCGTATACTTCTAGGGGAGGGAAGAAAAGAAAGAAGTCTCTCCTGCTCCTACTTGCTGTCGGCATCCTCGACTATGGACGCCGTCCAAACTGCGTCCGAATTCAGCAGAGGGCACTCCCTATTATGCCGTACGCCATTTCCATCGCGGGTTCCGTCTCATTGTTCCAGAGATGAGAGTGGATGACGTAACGACAACTTCTACTCCGGCTACCGGGTCGTTGGTAACGAGTTTCCAATCAACGGCCAAGGAGCGGTCAACCACAGTTCCCATTCCTTCTCTCCCTCTCCCCCCCCCTCTCTCTCCCCTTCAACGCCCACTGGAGGGATCCGGATCGGGAAGTTTGTGGAGAGGGGTAGAATCCTCATTAAATTTCTTTCTTGTGACTGCGAGGCTGTCCTGCATACAGGTAGTACGAGTTACCCCGCTACGTGGGGGGAAGGGGAAGGGGCTGGGGGCGGCAAGCGTGAACATGATTGAGACACCCTTGGAATCCAGGACACGCTTTGTTCCAATCTTATCTGATTCTTAAATAGGGGGAGACAGGGGGTGCATCGCAGCGCTTTTGCCTGTCGCTTTCATCCTTCCGAGCCGAGGGGCTTTGGTCCTGAAACCTTGGAGATCGAGAAGCTTAATTCCGGCCTGGGTGCGGGCGGGTTAACCGACCATGAGATCATCGTTGGGATCAGCTTTTTAACAGGCCGAGTAGTTGCCTTTCTCCTCTACTCGAAGTAGCCATTCTATGCGAAGCCTCATCTGAAGTCATCTGCGAAGGTCCTTCCACGATAAGGAGTTTCATCACCGCTCTGTATCTCGGGAACAGTACTGGTATTTCTGTGCCCTGTTCAGCCTGCTCCTCTGGGGAAGTGATTGGGTCATTCTACAGCTAGCGAAAACAGGTATTTTCCCTCCGACACGGAGAGGTGCCCCATGCTTGTGTAATGCTGTTTCCCCATAGGCTACCCGGTGCTCAATTGGGAACTAGAATACGGGATAGCACCTCCTGTGCTCCTTGAACACCTCGAACACCTCCCGTCAAGTATTGGCCACACTGCACGCACCATCTACCTGTGTTATGGTCATTGCTGGAGCTGCATATCTGGGGCAACGAGTCATACGGCCATTTTGCAGGGCCACTGCATTTGGCAAAGCCAATCGATAGCTTTCATCCGCGGTTCCGGTCAGATACAACTTGTGTCGGCTGCCATGCTGGTGATGGTAATAATGTTGAAAAGGGCATCAGGTGAGGGGTTGAGGAGATGAAAGCGGGAATATGTTAAGGGAGAAGGACGGTTCATCGAAAAGGAAAAGCACGAGGATGGTATCAGATGACGGACGACACGTAGGTCGACACTCAATACTTCTGTACTTCCCTTCAACCACTGTTCACTCTTTATCACTCGACTTCGTCATTGAGCATCTACTTGGGTTATCCTTTCATCGATGCTACTCCGGTTGGCTTCAATATTGCTTTTGGTGCGAGTCAGTAGACAGTACAGGTCGCTCAACCCTGATGCCCGAGATTCGTTGCCCCCTAACGAGGGGCCAGGTGTCTCTTATATCATGCTCCTTTTTAAAAATCGCAACCCCGGCTGTGGCCTGCATATCCGGTATGATGACTTGGATTATATCTTGTTCTCGGGTGATCCTGTTTGTTACGCGGTTCACATGGATGGGATTCGGATCATCCTCATAATGTATCGACACAAGAACCAATAGCGGTCACAGATCCCTTTATTAAACGGCTCAATCACGATCTTTATATTATTTCCCCGCGTCGGGGCCTCCATCCTGGGAATAATACCGGCTCCAACCCGTTATGCTGCAATGCTGCTATTATTACTAGTACATTGGCGAGGACTCCTCCCAATGCGCCCTCTCCGAGTGCGATAGAAGGGGCCCTACAACTGACCTCCGTGGCGCAGGCACAATTCGGGAATTATGGCAAAAGCACTCTGGGGAAGGTGGAGAGGGCATTTCGCACTGGTTTTTGGCGTTGTGGAGCTTGTAAGGATACGAATGGGGAGGATATGATATGATATGATGCTGGTTGACTTAGTGGGCTTGTATTAGTATCGTACAGATTCATAGATTGGGTTGCTTGATATGGTGTAGTGTAGGATACGGGTAGGGTAGCTACGATTGCTACGATAGCGCCACATATCCCCTCCCCTCGGAAGAGGTGGGAGGGAGGGGGAGGAGTAGACTGTCATAATATCATATCACTTGATTGAATGAATATATCGTGCAAGGTCACCCGTTACCCTACCCTTCTAGTCCTATAAACTAAGTTAACACCGAACGTCCAAGTTTCGGTGTTTGTAGGAATCATAGAGATAACGTGGCTATAACTAGTATTCATACAAGTATATACCGGTATCATAGTACCGGTACTCGAGTACAGCACCCCTCCCCCCACACACGTCGGGCCGGCACTGCGACACGGGCACGGGGAAAGCGTGGAAAGCGTGGCGGACAAAAAACTTTTTGGCAGCCTACGTCGCCTACGCTCACCCCAACCCGCAACGCAGGGTAGAGCACCGTTTTCCAACGGTGCTCTACCCCTCGCTCGTTTATAGTCTCTACGGGACAAGTGAGAAGCGGGAATAGACAATGGCAGATCACCCTACAAATGCTACGAACGAGAGAGTTACGAAAAAGAGAAGAAAGACGTGCGATCCCCATATCCACCAAAAAAAAAAAAGGAAAAAAGCGGATCACCACCGCCATTTACCCCCATTCCTGACTCACCCCGTAGAGACTACATTGCGAGTTCAGCATGAAGGGCTCCATGATATCCCGACGTTTGAAAGCCTTGCAAGGACAAGCGAGTCCCCGAGGAAGGAGAGAAAAGACATGTCGCATATCCTCACGACACGGAAATTGTGTGGGAGGCAGGAGTGTCCCATCTTCCTTCGCTCGACTCGCTCATGATTGTAGAGACTCCCGAGCGTGGAGAATCCTTGGAACCGTTCATGCCGGGCGATTTGGGCATTTGTACGTATTGTAACGGAGACCCTTGTGAAGTCTGGGGAGTTCAAAGAGGGGGAGGTTAGCTCCGTGTTTATATAGACCTTTGGGCACGCTGATGAGGGGGGGGTGGTCCTTCACCTATGGAATCGATATTCCTGCCCTATGTTTAGGCGTCTCACGATATCTATCGTATATTCGCGTCGTGTTGTAATACGAATACGTCCGCTGCGGATGATTTTGTTGCTCACTCCTGCAGAAACCTTTTTTCCTAAACGTTTTGAATCGAACTGACGCGCTTGCCTGATCCGAATATCGTGATTGGTCGTCTTCCCAACGACGGTCGGGTTGAAATTCCCCTTTCCAGCCAGAGAGGCAAAGAAGTTAGGACTCCTACTTTTTTTTTCTAATCGTGAGGATGTAGATGGGCCTCATATCTTCACTTTATGAGCGATTCCAGCGTTTTAATATCACAAGGGTAGAATATATATTGCCTCCGCCGGGGAATTGATGATCGTGGCATGTAAAAAGCGTGGAGTCTTCGCAATCGGAGCGGTGTGTTCGAAGGTTCCCGAAAATGTGAGTCCAAAAGGGGAAAACCAGGCACATTTTTTTGTTTTTTTATCAGGCCCCCATCACTTTTTGTCACTCGCTTGATCAAACTTGACTGAAGCTTAAGTTAACCCCGCCACTCGAACTCCGTGGAGGGAGGCGGATCGAAGCTCGCGTTTCCGCACGGTGTAGCACGGATCACCGGTGGTGGTTCCAAATTGAGTCCGCTCGCCTCCGAAGAAGGGACTGTGCTACGCGAGGAATTTCCTCGGGTTATGCACACGGCGGGTTCGCAACACTTTATCCTGCCATATGTTAGCACTTAAGAAATCCGTTCACTATCATGCACCCTGCAGGTTTTATAAAAGTGGAGAGAGAGAAAGGGAGAGAGTCGATTCCGAATTGCTGATACTCTACCGTACGTATTTTACAAGCCTCTCCTCCGAATGTATCTGCAGCCTTGGGTCTGGAGTTCTGAGTTATTGCTCCGGCAATGACTTGTAGCGGTAGTTAGCGTTGAAGGGGTAGAAGAGGAGGAAAGGGAAGAAATAGGATGGCTGCGCAGGCCCTGTAATTTAGTTGCGTGCTGTGCTGATATTGTGTGGTGTTATCGGGACGGGCTCGGAAGTGGGGCTGCGGATAACTCGGTACCTGGAATCCTATTTTAGCCTTGTCTTTGTTTGCTTTTTCCTTCCTTTTCTTCTTTCTCGAGCCCCCGCCTTGCGGGTTGTGCGTTAGCTGGTCGGGATTGTTGAGGACTTGTGAAGTTGATTATAGCAGTTGCTTGATAGCACAGGTTTGGGATGCTAAAGGCATTGCAAGTTGGGTATAGTGTGGACATAGTGTGCGGCTTGATGCAGTTGATGGGGAATCGAGCACAGTGAGCGCTGTAAGAGTACCTGTGCTCTTGGTGTTCAGGGCATCACATCTTAAGTTGTGGGCTGGTAATTCAAGATAATCATAGAGTGTGATGGACGATAAGTGCACTGAATTACTATTCTATTGACAAACTTGGTTGTTGATCAC